GTTTAACACATTGTTAATGTAGCCTCACATTCTACAAGGCAGCATGAAGGGAGGGAGGGGAGACAGCATGGCAGAGAGAGACAGTGACATACACCTTGTGTGTGAGAGAGAGAGATGCACATTGCTCCTTTAAGTACGCTGACCCCACTCTAAGTGCATTGCCATTTTAAGTAGATCAGCAAGCTGCTGCCAGCAAGCTCCCTCCGTCCTGAGCCCTGTCCTATCCCCCCCTGCTCTATGGAGATGGGGTAAGCGGGGGGGCAGGAGCAGGGGGACACCCTGACATTAGCACCCTTCTTCTCCCCCACTTCCCCCTGCACAGCAAGCAGGAGCTCCCAGGAGCAGCTCCAAGGCAGAGGGAAGGAGCAGCACATGGCAGTGAGGGGAGGGACAGCTGAACTGCCCAGCAATTGATAGCCTGCTGGGCGGTTGCCGCTCAGGAAATTTAGGGGAGTGGAGAGCTGATGTGGGGGCTGCCGGCCCATCCTGGTTCCAAGCCCCCACCAGCTAGCTGCAACGGGCTTCTTTTCCTGCAAGCAGTGGACAAAGCAGGCAGCTGCCAAACAACGTTATAAAGGAGCATCGCGCAACTTTAAACAAGCATGTTCTCTAATTGATCAGCAATGAAACAACGTTAACCGGGACGACTTTAAGTGAGGAGTTACTGTACATAATAATTGAAAAGGAGTGCCTTGCAGTGAAGTGGGCTATTGAGACACTAAGATACCATCTACAAGGCAACCACTTTAAGCTGGTGACTGACCACACCCCACTAAAATGATTGCACTACATGAAAGAAATAAACACAAGAGTAATGAAGTGTTACCTTGGCCCACAATCCTCCTCCTCCTCAGTTGAGCATTGCCCTGGCTGTCAAAACAAGAATGAGGATTTCTTCTCCCAAGAAGTGGGGAGCACTTCTTCCGCAGAGAATGCTTCCATCCAAAGGGGGGGGGGAAGTCTGTTGTGGGGTGAATAAACCCCCATGCTGGTCTGGCCACCAAGGAGATAATGCAGCAACTGCCAGCCAGAGCCAGTTGGCATCCTCTCAGCACTCAGAGAATAGAAGAAGCAGTGGGGTGGGGCAGCTGTCAGAGGAGCAAACAGACTAGAGAAGAAGTACTTGTGGCATCTTAGAGACTAACAAATTTGTTAGTCTCTAAGGTGCTACAAGTACTCCTGTTCTTTCTGCGGATACAGACTAACACGGCTGCTACTCTGAGACTAGAGAAGGAAAGTCCTGCCAGCAAACAGGTGAAAAGCCACCCAGAGACAACACCTTAAAGAAGGTATGACTGGAACCACAGTCTGAGGAAGTAGGAAAAGGTTCAGGGTATGGCAGGAGAAATTGTTGAGGATTGATTCTGCCTGCCTGGTTTAAGGGTCCTGGCTGGAATCCAGAGAAATGGATGGCTCTGGGCTCCCCTATTGTTCCCTCAACAGAGGCTTAAGAACCAAAAGGGATTTTCAAGCTCCCGGAGGACCAGAACCAGCTAGCCCCCACCAAGCATAAGGGGAAACCCATACACCCCAGAGGGGCTAAAACTAACACCCTTCACAGAATGGGATTGCCATCAAGACTCAGGCAAGAAGGGCTGAGTGACCATCCTGCTGATCCAAGCAGACTTTGTGCAATGCTCCGTCCCACATCAGCGCACCAGCCCACAATAATTATAATTATCTCTACACTTTCTACATATATCCTATAATGGGGAATGCTCACCTTGTAAGTGCCTGCTGCTGCTTGTGGTATTTAGGCCTTTTCCTGCTCCTGGCACCCCTTTGTTGGTTGTCAGCCTTGCCTGGCAGGTCTTCAGTGGCTTGGCCCTCCAGCCAGGTCACCCAGTCAAAATAAACCCCTTCTGGGGTTGCAGAGAGTCCAACAAAACTGTGTATCTGCCCTCACCAGTGTCTTCAGCCCTCTGTCTGGGCCCTTTAAATTCATCCCTTCACTTAGGCTTCCAAAGGAGCCTTGTGCTCTTCTCCGGGTTTTGACTACTTCACTGGTGAGCAGTTGGGGGAACAAGGGCCCACCCACTACTCCAGCTTTCAACACAAGGACCCTATAAACAGCAGCTACATACCACTCACTTCAATTAATTGTGCTTGTTCCCTGGGCCTCTTCCCACCTGGCACTTTTATATTCAGCCCGTTCATTAGAGTTAAAGTTCTCAGGTTCTTTCTCCAAGCTTAAGCAAAATGCAGCCAGAACCAAACTCTGACTGTCCCTCAAGCTTCTTTGGCCAGAGAGGCACATCCTTCCTTGCTCCTGTAATCTCAGCTAGGAACTGACCTGCTAAGGCCCTGCATCTCCTTTTATCATCCATCATCCAGCTGGCCTAAGATTGGCTGCTTCCATGCAGCCTCTCTAGGCAGGCCTGGAGGATGCACCTTCGCAGCTTCTTTCCTGGGGTGGGTGTGTTACTACTGAGCACAGGGCCTCCAGCAGGGAACCATGAAGGCCTGGTATACCCTGTCACACATCCCCATAAAACTTATGGAAAAAACACTTCTTCTCAGGAACTCTTGAAGAACTGAAGCTTGATGTTTTTTTTTTTTAAGTGAATCTTTTTCAGCAATATAAAAGGCCAAGATAAGCCAAAAAGACATTAGAAAAATCTGAAATTTGAATGACCTAGAAGTTTTTATACCCCCATGTCTGTAATATTCCTTGTGTGATTTGTCCCAAACTTTCTCAAAAGTTTCTTTCCTAGAATGGGATGTGGCATAAGAAATTTCAGATAGGTTGGTTTGTTTTTAGTGAGATAAGGTTTGGTTTTGAAAATCGGTCTTCTAATGAGAAACTAACTTTAGCCTTAATTATGGAGGAACTAACATCTTTCTATAATAGGAACCATGTGAGTGGGTTTTACAAAATATTTCAGTTATAGTACTATGCAACCCACAAATTGGTTTCAGTAATTGGCTTTGATAAATTATTAGCAAAACAGTACCTTATTCTCACTTGCTCACTGTACAGCTTTTTCTTGTGTCCTCCCAAATTTTTCAGTCTCTCTGGTTTTATTGAAGGTTTCAGATATTTCCCGAGTTCATCAAATCGTTGGGTAGTACTGTCTACAATATCAATGCTAATTATTCACTTTAATAGCAGTATTTTCCTTCTGTAGCTGAAACATTCTGCAGCAGATCTTCGGAAGACCACTAAACATTCCATGTTTATTCGGATTCCACCACCTGAAGACAGAACAGATCCTCAAAGGTTCTTAAGAATTATTTTTGTTAATGATATTTAAAAATACCATGGACATCTGTGTGTCTGTCCATGTGTTGTTTATATGACATTTCATAATGTAACTATTGCAAGTAAGTACTATTCATTCAGCAATCATACTTTCTGCATCACTGGGGAAATAAATTTTCTAATAGTCAACCTAAATTGGAGGAATTAGGATCATACTTCTTTGTCTTCCTCTCATCTATTCTGCATGAAGGCAAGGAGGAAAGGAAAGGAGAGTTCCCCAGGATTTTCTCCTTTCCCCCACCTCTGCAACCATAACACTTCAGTAACGGCCAGTGGAGCTCCCTGACTGTATGGAGTACTTGCTAAGGGCCAGATCCTGCAACAGGATCTGCAGGAGTGTACCTCTATAGCCCCATTGAAGTCAGCTGGGCTCCATGCAAGCACAGGGTCTGCTCATATGGATTCTGTTGCAGGATCTGATTCTTAGTGATTGGCACTTCATTCACAGGCAGAGTGAGCAGAACACTGACTTCTTTCTTGCAGACTTAGTGTCTGGGTATGAAAGCTACCAGTCAAGGCTCCCATCTGTTGTACATGTGCTTTCTGAGCCCTAACTATGGAATGGGCCTGACAACCTTCTTCCATTCCTACAGAGGTATTATGGCTCTTCTCTCTCTCTCTCTATCTCTCCCCTACTCTCCCCTACACTATCAGCAGGAGAACAGAGGTTCATGACTGAGTCACAGACATGGTATCATGATAACACGTTGAAAATGGTCAGAACCATCAGTTTAGTCCAGAAACTTGTCAATCATCTCAACATGTCTATTTGTCTGCTTGTGACATAATACTGTCACCATGGCCATGCAGGCTGATGGGATGGCTCCAAAATGCAAAGCCAAATGGCAAACATTTCATAATTTAAAAATAAATTAATGTACAACCATCAAAATTGTTTGGTGTTCCCAATGACACAATAGGCCATGGAAATCACTGCTGTGAGGGTATGTTCTGAGTACAAAAATCATGAAGCATGAAAAATACTGCTTTTACAGTCTGATAATGGATCTTTACAAAATAGAATTTTATAAATAATTATAAAATGATTTTTCTCTTAGCTGAGAGAGAGCATGAGAAATTTCAAACTAAAGGTCATTTTTTCAGAAAGTGTGTGAAAACAATGACTTATACAGCATGCTTTCTTAACCATAGCTATAGCATTGTTTTTTTAATTCAAGAAGAATCACTTTGGAGCCATCGGTCATCATTATGAGATGAGGGACTTCTCTTCCTCTTCCAAAATAAAATCTTAATATCTAAGGTCCTGTGGGGGGAAAAACATCTAATTTATTACCTGTGACATTACAGTGACCCTGAAGTAGCATAGAGATTATTCATTGTTTTTGTAAAGATGATTTGTGCATTATCCTTACACAATTTTCTTTTACTACTGATCTTATAAAGGTTTGTTTTATTGCAGTAATATTACCACATCACAACACATGGGATACCCAGCATTCTTATCCCCAGACCTGAATGTGAGAGAAGAGACTCTTGAGAAGGATATTCCTACAAAATCTGATGTGCCTTCTGATGGTTTAGAAATGCTTCAGAGTGTTCTGAATAGAACGTCTCCTCGAAAAAGGCAAGAAATGTGCACTTTTGTAGAGAGGAGACAAAATGGATTCCTTCTTATTTAACTTGTGCCCTTAGCCTCATTGTGCCCTTAGCCTCATTGTTCTTTAAAAAAGTAGTAGTAATAGATTTGATATGGGGGCATGAGTAGGTACTTATTGTTTCTGCCTTCATGCTGTGCAGAATCATGCTTCACAATCTACACTGATGGCAGCACAGTCACATGCAATTTTTCTCTTTATCTGCTAATTTTACTATGACTTGATTATACCAGTGCAGACATTCACCCAGAAAAGATTTTGTTAGGAAATAGATAGAGAGTTGTTCTTATAAATAAAGGTAGAACCAGAGTAAAGCTAATGTGCTACAGTCATTTCTGGAAGTACTCAAAGAAGAGGAGCAAATAGGAATGAGAAGAGAATGACCTCTTTGATGAGCATCTTAGTTGTAATTGCTGTCACCTCTGTCTGTCTGACAGCATAGTGGAAGAATACCCTTGAAATTGCACTGGTGGGACTGTCCTTAAAACAAAGTGAGTTGGTGAGGAAAATGTCTATTGTAGTGATATATGTGTACTGAATCTAGAGTTCTTATGTTTTTTAACTGTACAGCAATTGTAAATGCCAAAAAATGTGAGTTCATGCAATAAGTTCTTTGGCCTTTTCCTTAGTTACATGCTGTAGTCACTGATGAACAACCCTGCAAGGTTAGATATAAATGTCTTGACTGATTCTTCACTTTAGATTGGAAAAAATGAAAAAGGAATATCGGGGTCTGAAAACATGGCCCGAAAAGGCTGAGTATTTAGACCAACTCATCATGAAAAGGGGACCTAAAATGACAACAGAGCAGAATATGGTAACTAGAGAGCACGTAGAAAGCATTCTGTGTACACTTTATTATTGTTGCTTTTCATATTGGTGAAACATTACCATTAAATAAGACTAATTTTCATTAAATTTTGGATTTATGTTAAGCTCAGTACAAATTTGAGAACATGTTAGTGCATGTGAGTATTTCTCAAACACTATCCTTCTAAGTCACTTATTAGTAACAGATGAATTGATGCTGGTCTTTCTGTTTAACCCACTCAAGTAGCTAACAGGACAGAGTTAAGGTTGTTTGGGTGCCCTAACATAACATTTCCATACTTTAAGTGTTTAGAGTTTCTTTTAAATTTAATCTTAACTTTGAATTTCATGGGTTTATAATGCTTGATTTGGGGATAATAACATCATTCTCTCTCTTTCTTTCTCCCTGCACACAGTTGGAGGGGAAACAGATTATGAACTTCACTTTATATTGCGTTGAACACATCTAAACTTCCTCAAAATCTGCCTGTTTTACTGAATTTCACATAATTGCCTTGCCCTGCAAAGTGTTTCAAATCTCCTTAAAGGACTGTCACCAAGCGCTATTAAGATTGCATTCTGGGATTTTGAATGATTCTTAACTGCTTGCTCGTCCCCATGGAACAATGGGCCTTCTACCGAAACACCCACATGGGGGATGGGGCAAGCATGATTACTGGGGGCAGTCTGTAGCTCTTGGTTTAAGACATAGCTCAGAGAGAGACTGTACTTAAGTGCAGGGTTGTGCTCTGTGCATGAGGGCCAATTATCACCACATATAACAGTGGTCCTCAAGCTTTTCACTGTCATGCCTCCCACTTACCCTATCTGGGCCTCCCCCCGGGAGTAGGGCCGCAACTTGGGGGCGGGGTGGGTGGGCACGTGGACAGGGGTAAGGAGACTGAGGCTGTGGCCACAGCTGGGGGCAGGGCTGGGGCTGGGAATGGAGCCACAGCCAGGGCTGAGGCTGGGGGCAGGAGCAGGAGCGGAGCCGCATCCAGGAGCCAGGGCCATAGCAGAGATGGGGGTGGAGCAGGGCTTGGTGGCACTCCCTCCCTGCCCCCCGTAGGAGCTGGCCCAGGCCCTGCCCCCCCCGAACGTTCCTCCATGCCCCCCTAGGGGAGCATACCCCACAGTTTGGGGACCACTGATATATAAGAAGGACGTGCAGGGTGTACTTTGCCTAGCTAGAAACACTGACAAACTTTGGAGATGAGAAATGGGGAGGATGCATCTCAGAACTTTTGTTGTTTTCAGAGATCTGTATCTCTCTCGAGTACTTTAACCGTAAAATCTTGTTGGTTAAGAAATTCTTTTGCGAAACCTGTGTTCCTTGCTTTCCTGCCTCATTGTTCCAGATCGGATAAACTAGAAGCCCAGCGTGCCCACAGCCTACGTGGAACTTGGGGCAAACATGTATAAGTGACTGGGAGTTCCTGGAAGATCTTCCGTTTCTCGGAGACTCTGGTTTGGAGGTCTAGGGTGGCTGGGTGGTGGTGCCCCACTTTCAATGGATGAGCATCAGACAAGTCTCCCACAGTATTCTTGCCAGCAAGTTAAAGAAGTATGGGCTGGATGAATGGACTATGAGGTGGATAGAAAGCTGACTAGATCATCAGGCTCAATGGGTAGTGATCAATGGCTCCATGTCAAGTTGGCAGCCGGTATCAAGCAGAATGCCCAAAGGGTCAGTCCTGGAGCCAGTTTTGTTCAATATCTTCCTTAATGATCTGGAGGATGGCGTGGATTGCACCCTCAGCAAGTTTGTAGATGACACTAAACTGGGAGGAGTGGTAGATACGCTGCAGGGTAGGGATAGGCTACAGAGGGACCTAGACAAATTAGAGGATTGGGCCAAAAGAAACCTGATGAGGTTCAGCAAGGACAAGTGCAGAGTCCTACACTTAGGATGGAAGAATCCCATGCACTGCTACAGACTAGGGACCGAGGGGCTAGGCAGCAGTTCTGCAGAAAAGGACCGAGGGGTTACGGTGGATGAGAAGCTGGATATGAGTCAACAGTATGCCCTTGTTGCCAAGAAGACTAACGGCATTTTGGGCTGTATAAGTAGGAGCATTGCCAGCAGATCGAGGGACGTGATCATTCCCCTCTATTCGACATTGGTGAGGCCTCATCTGGAGTACTGTGTCCAGTTTTGGGCCCCACACTACAAGAAAAGGATGTGGAAAAATAGGAAAGAGTCCAGCGGAGGGCAACAAAAATTATTAGGGGGCTGGAGCATATGACTTATGAGGAGAGGCTGAGGGAACTGGGATTATTTAGTTTGCAGAAGAGAAGAATGAGGGGGGATTTGATAGCTGCTTTCAACTACCTGAAAGGGGGTTCCAAAGAGGATGGATCTAGACTGTTCTCAGTGGTACCAGATGATAGAACAAGGAGTAATGGTCTCAAGTCACAGTGAGGGAGGTTTAGGTTGGATATTAGGAAAAACTTTTTCACTAGGAGAGTGGTGAAGCACTGGAATGGGTTACCCAGTTACTCTCCTTCCTTAGAGGTTTTTAAGGTCAGTCTTGACAAAGCTCTGGCTGGGATGATTTAGTTGGGGATTGGTCCTCCTTTGAGCAGAGGGTTGGACTAGATGACCTCCTGAGGTCCCTTCAAACCACTTAGAATCATAGATTATCAGGGTTGGACCCTATAGATGTGTTCTAAGACCCCAGAGCTAGAAACACTGAATGTGCCCAGACTCAGTTGACTTAGAAGCAAGTGATAGTAACCCTGCAATTGGGTCCACTTACAACTGACTAGTGACCATACAGAGCAATACTGGGCCAGTTTGTAATAATCCATATAATGTATTTATTCTAGATTACTGAAATGTACCCTCAACCTTAACACCATTCTAAATTAACTTTTGGCAAGGAATTATATTATTATTATAATTATTAAAATCATTGTGCATACAAAATAAAAGTAACTGCCATCTGCACTAATCTCAGTAGTTTGCTTCCCCCTCTTGAACTTCACCTAGCAAGAAGAGAGACTTCCTTTTGTGTCTTTGGCTTATGTTTGACAGAATGAGCTGATGAAAATAAAAGTTGTAGTAAGAAATGGTCTCTTTCTAGAGTTTATTAACAACATACAGAGCTACAGTTTGAGCTTACTTGACAGATTTAAAATGTCTCTACACGTCTCTGAGAATTTGCACATCAAAAAGTGTGACTCTGTAATGAAGATAACTCAGGAGGAGAAATTCAGATACGATACTGACAAATAACCTTCCACTTTTCACCTTTTTTGGGTTTTAGGCTTCTCGCTTCAAGGAAATGGTTGGAAAGATACAACATGCTACTGAGGAAGCAATCAGAAGCTGTTCTGACACATCAGGTTTGGAGAACATCAGTATTTCATATTTTAGAAAATGGCAAGCGGCAAGGACAGTGCCAAAAACAGCAATTTTTGAGCCTCTTACCGATGAAAATATATAATTCTCTTTGCTCACAATTTTAAGTATAGTTGGTGTGTATATATAAACGATTATGAATTAAATAACTAAAGAGGCCATATTAGAGAAGGGAAATAGTCTTAGTCAGAGTCAAAATATGTGCTCCAAATTTTGGTCTTAGTTCAGTTTTAAGTTGTTTTTCCTTATAATTTAGGGAGATGCCATGTGTTTTAGAGATACTGCCATGCAAACCTGTGAGGTGAATTTTAAGGTTTGTGACAGGCTATTTGTTATGGTAATGATTAGTCAATGGATGACTTGCTAGAATTGGTGTGAATATTGGGAGGTTATGCATATGAGTTATCAGTAACCAGGTGTTGTAGATGACCTATTGTGAGTTGTTACATTCAGTTTTATGAACTGTATTGGACATGTTATTACATATGAGATTTGACCAAAGCAAAAATCTACCATGGTGTGTGTTTTCAGTTATTATTAAGCAGTACACAGTAAAATTACATACAGAGATAGGGGACTATACTTCTCATTTTGGCAAATATCCAGTATGTTCAGTATAAAGAAGTAAATCAAGTGATTGGAATACAAGTCAGCCTTTTGTGAATAAGACTGATGTTTTGTCAGTTATTACTATAACATAATAAAGGCTTTAGAATTGAATGTTTCAAATCTGTAAAGGAAATATTTAAAGAGTATATTGTTAGTAGGTATCTCAGTAGTTATAGGTGAAATTGCATAAAGTAATCTGTTGAAATTTATTATCGAGTCAGCCTGGTGATCTAACTAGTTTAGGAGATGAAATTTACAAAGTAAATTAGTTTTTTACCTGCTTTGTGTAACTTGGCAGTGTCCCTTAAACTTATTAAGAATAAATTAGAATTTAAACATTTTTTCTGCTTGTGATGCACATCATATCTTGTTAGTAAGATTAAGAATGTATATAGTTTCTAATTATTCTTTTCTCACCTGAAGCTGATTCACAGTTACAGGAAGAGCAGCTGTCTGGAACTGAGGTAAAGGTGTTTATTCTTTAAAAATTAATTGCATTTTCATAGAATGAAATGTTGATGTTTGTACTTAGGGTTTGAAATACCATAACACCCTGAAACCATTAGTTCAAATCTCAGCAGGGGTCAGCTCAGCTCTTGACATTTCTGATGTAGGTGGATTAACTCTCTGTGCTCTTTAACTCAATGGGTGAAATGCTGGCTCCATTAAAATCCATGGCAAAACTCCTATTGGCTACCAGGTGGTCAGGGTTTCATTTTATCTTCAAGTGATGATATAAATGGAGGACCTGTCTATCCTGAGTAGACATTAAAGATCCCATAGCACATTTTGTCTGAGTAGAGATTTGCCCTCATATCATTGGCTAAAATTTTTCCTACCCAGTCTGAATTATATTTTGACTGCCACCCTTCAGTGCAAGGGTAGCTGGAATTCACTTGTATTATATATATATATATATGTGTGTGTGTGTGTGTGTATATACACATACACACACACACATATATATATATTGTGGACAAGGCTTGGAACACTTACCTCACACCTACTGGTTATGATGGAAAAAAACTATGCCTTTGCACCACCACTAGAAGCACACACTCTCCTCCGACCCTGCAGCTGCAATGAATTAAACAGTCGCACACTGTTTATTGTAACATATTGCTAATACAGTTTTTAAAAATGTAACTTGAGTGTCTCTGATTTGTTGCTTTTATTCACTCTGGCGTTATTTTTCCATGCTAGATTGTGGTCATCTTTGTGTCTGTTTTCTTTCCCTCCACCTCCTTATATCCCTTTCCATTTCCTATATTTTATACTCTAACTTCTCTGCTATAATTGTCTTTCTCATGTCTCCCCAAAATCTTTCACAACCCTGACTTCTCTTTTGTAACTTTAATTATTCTCTCTCTCCCACCCACACCCATATATCTGCACATATGCATCCTCTCACGCACTTTCTCCCCCATTCATCCATGCTTCATAAATAGGGCTTGAAGAGCTTACCATACACCTAATAGCCAGAATGCTTAACTGGATTGGTTGGTGACTGTTCAGTTAGAAAAATCAGATTCTGTAGTTTTATTTGACTTTATTTGAAAAGAAAAAGAGGGAGGGAGAGAGAAGGGAAAAATACCAAAAGTAAAGAAAATGAAGTCCGCAGCTTCTGAAAAACGTTCATTTGAGCCCATTTCTCTCTTCCCAGCATAACTCCTGTTACCAGGATATCGTTTTTGTGTTTACATTGTTTGCTTTCACAGGGAGAAACTCCACACTTACAGATCACTAGTTTGAGAACAATGCAAGTAGAAATATATTGCAGTAATTTTCATGAGAAGAACTTTGTTAAACTGTAAGGAAAGAGTGAAGGAGGGAGAGAAGATAGAGTGGAAGGACCCAAAGCGTTTTAAAAACTTTTTTCAAACCATTTACTTTTCATATCCATTTGACAGCCTATTCCCCCATTCATTTAAGAATTAATATGTAAATTAAGATCTTCAATAATTAATAACCTGAGGAAGTTTTCTCTTAACTCACTAAAAACCATACACTGGATCAGTAAACTCTTTGGCCTGAGAATACATTTCCTATAAACACCTTGGCCTTGTAGGTTATACAGCCCAAGATATACTTGTTATCTCATAAACAGAAAGCACAAAGGCACTCCAAGTACCAAGCATAGTTTTAAATAATTTTCTTTTCTGTGAGTCACATATGATGCGAAGAATTTTCAGAGATTTAGATTTTTGTTTCCCCAGACAAACAAGAAAATAATCCTATTTCTAGAAAAGGGAATGTCTGTCCAATAATTATTATGATTACATTCTTCTCGCACCAATGTTGGTGCACAGGGCAGAAACTAGTCTCTTCCATCCCTCTCTGTCATTTGCAGCTGCTTCCATCCGTTCTATGGTGTTGAGATAGACTGGTCTACCCTCCCTTCTAAGAATTCTTAAGGGTTTCTCTTGAGTGCCCTCATTTCTTCACACTAGTTGGTTTCCACTTGACAGCTTCATGTGGGAGTCTGTATGTTAGCATGCAGAGTAGATGACCCAAATATATCCAATGCTTCCTTCTAGTGGAGATGAGCTGCTGGTTGCTGATAAAGTCTCTCCATCCAATGTCCAGAATCTTTCATAGGCATTTATTTTGGAAGGCATTAGTTTTCTATCTAACATTTTTAATAGCTCTCCAGCTCTGACAGCTAAACACTAGCATTCAGGTGACATTTGAGTTGAAAACTCTGTTTTGTTTTGGTACTGTATATTTTTTATTTCTATACATTGTTGAGTTTAGTGGATGCCTTTTCTCCTATCTTTTGATACCCCACTTTCTGCACTTTGATGTGGATGCTGCCGGTTCCAAGCCCAGATAAAGTGGAGATGCTTGAGAGCAAGGCTAACCAACTAGCTTATTTAAAACAAACAAACCAAGCACACACCTCATTGGTTATAGATATGATAAAAATGACATTTTAATAGAGAACACTTTCTGACCCTTCGTGTTTCATGAAGTCTCCTGGTGAAAGCAGAACCCCCCAAAATTTGAGGCTGGCAGCAAGAAAACACTTCAGAGTCAGTTACTGGAACGTGAGAACAATCTTTCAACTATCAAAGGGAGGGAGGTGGATAACTGTGGACTTGAAATGCTGTGCATCTGTGAGAGCAGACTGACAGGAGTGACTAGCAAGTGCTTCAAGCAAGAGAGAAAACATTTAATCTATTCAGGTCATCAAGACAATGTACACTCAGAGACAGTAGCACTCATTATGACAGATTCTGTAGGAAAAGCCCTTATCTGGGAACCTATTGTCCAGCAATGCCTGTAATATATAGGAATTTTTAAAAAATCAAAAGAATGCTAACTTTGATCATGTTGTTTACCTTTTCTAGGGGCCTGATCTTGCTCCCCACTGGAGTCAATGGGAGTTTAGCCATTAACTTCGGTGGGAGCTGGCTGAGGCCCTTAATAGAAGTACTGTAATGCTGATACATTTTATTTTAATGTAGCATTTTCTCATTTCATTTACTTTTATCCTCCTTTCTGTAGCTTCTGTTTTATTGATTGGCATAATGCTCGATATTTAAAAGGCTATTTACATGAGATATTGTTAAAGGGGTTTTTTTATTTTTACTTTCAAATGTTTAAATAATATTGGATTTTTTTATTAT